TCGTAAACATAATACAGCGGACAGCACTTGTGCACCACACTTAGCGTTTGCAGCGCTTCACCGCGCGTTGGCGGACAATAAACGGCCGCCAAACGTTGATCGACACTGGTGAGACACGCGCTTGACGGCAACTCCACCTCACGGTCGCCCGCAAGAAAGATGAACGTTTGCCGATTACATTGCGGCAGCTGACCGCTATAATTGCCGCCCTGATCCGAATCTAACATCGGCGCTTGTATGCGGTACCCGTAGACCGGCGCGGTGTGTTCGAAGATGTCAACACTGGTTTCGCCTTCCTTAACGTCCGCGACAGCGTTGCTATTGTCAGCGTCTCCTTCCTCGAGATTGCGGCATTCGAAGATCTCAGGTCGAAAGAAACCCATATTGATCTTCACTAGCGACCAGTCTAAGGGACAACATATTGGCGCGCTGACCAAGCGCCGCACCGCCGTTTGGCGCGTCTCATTCTCTCCCTGCACGCTCGCGATATGTCTGCCAGCCGCGATTAGCAAGTAGAACACAATAAAAGACATTGAAGAGCGATCGTGTGCGTTAAACGGTCTCAGTTATTAAAGACTTTTTAGTTACTTATCCAGTAGTTTACACTTTAGACATTTTTTCAGTGAGAGCGAAATTTCAAAAGCACTCGTTAACACACACTTAAATTATGTAAAGAAAAAGGCAGATAAAACCTATTAATTATAATGGATCGCCTGCGGATCAGTGTCTTGTTTTAAGATATCACACACCACCGTCGTCAACAACTGATATTTCACAATAACTTAACACAACTGTGCTGTCGGCAGCCAACGATCGTTTATCTAATCAATAGTTTTGAAAATTTCAAATGTAAACAAATATGCAATTGATTTTTTCTTTCACCTGACTCTTTTCGCATGCCGCCACAGCAATACACCGAAAACTACATTAACAGCAACAACAATATGGACAAACACATTCTCAATTTTTTTTACTGTTATTATTACACACAATTACGTCCATTCAAAACGACCGGAAGAACTCGAAGACGTTTCGTTCCGCTGGTATTCGTATTGCCATTTAACGAAGATCCGGATTTTTGCGTCTTTACACGTTCGCGACTCTCAATTAACTGACTGGTTCATTGTCTGCGCATTTGTACAGGCTAATTTTCCTTATAGTAATGACGCAACCGTTGACTGTTGTATGGCCAGCGCAGAATATTGCTGAGTGGTTGGGAGCGTGGCAGACAGTAAATACGCGGCGTTTAGTATTTGAGCAACCACTTGAGGTGCAAAGAGTCCATTTAACTATTGAGCACACGGCGTGACCCCAACTGTCAACCCCTAGTGCGAATTGACACTGTGGATTACGTTATATTCGATACACTGCCGCTTCTAACAACACATACTAACGCAAAGGTATTTACTATAGCAATATTAAATTTCCTTCGAAGAAAGCCATTCATGAAAATATGCGTCCACACATAGTTCGCTACCTCTGTTAACATGTAGTGATGTGTTCCGTTTAGGGAACACATTAGGAAAACTCAAAGATACTCTTTAAAAGTTTTTTAACTAAATGCAACCCCAAAAATGATTTTCGGGCGCTGTGAAGCGTTCGTGTAAAATTTCAAATTCAAACTTTTTTTTTGTAAAAAAGTAGAATAAAATTAGGACAGGTTGTACGGACCATTAGACGCTTCATCACATTAGAGGAACCAGAAGGGTGCCAATTTTTCGATGTGCCGGAACAATTTTTTATAGAAAAGTGATGGAAACCAGTATATTGTAGTATATTTTGAATCTGTCGAAGATAATGATCGAGACAACTGCGCCAGATGTGGCACAAACTTCATATATATCCTTTTTCAGGGAAGTGAGTATTCAGTCCGACAGGAGAGCGGCAATACCAACACTAAGCATGCTCTATGGGCTTAAAGCTAGTCAAGGATTATCTGTCCTCACTAGAAATAACATCAAGCTAGTTCATCATCAGAGTCGTTTGAGTGCCTAAGCATAGCGGAATTGCTGGCAACTACAAAGCCGACGAGTTTAAATTGGAATCGGACCGAGTTGGATCTCCATTAGTATCTTGTGTTCTAGCACTGGACCAATGAGCCTCGCGTGTGCTTAGGAAGCGCTGATCGATGTCCAGCTTCTGTGAGACTGCAAGATTCTTCTGGCGTAGAGTAAAACACAGAAGATCTTCTGAATTACTTGCATTTAGCTAAGTTTATCTTTCCGCAATCGTACCAGTTCTTACTGGTCATTGTTATTTTTTCAAAGGATAGGCTCAAAGCGCTTTTTTGATGATGTATTATGTAGGAGTTTTAGGAAATACAACGAACCGGCGTTCTAAGCTATCCAAATGAGATCTTTGTCAGGGTGGACCTCATAAACTAACCTAACTTAACCGGTATCCGAGAGGTGGCTCTGATCAATGTCGCACTTCACATAGATACAAATGACTAAAGTAGTTTTCGAAATGTGTGCAGTTGATCTAAAAGAGAGTGAAACCTCTCTTCAAACTATTTTAAACATTTTCTATGTGATTTATAGCTTATTATAGTGTATTCTTCTTAAACAAAGTTTGATTTTTTCTAGTTTTTGTTAACTGAACCTTGTATCTTTTTGTGATCGAATTTATATCTTAGTTATTTATTTTTAATTGTTTATCGCTTCAACAGCCAGAAGGACGCTTGAGGAACCAGATATGGCTGGTTAGTATAGTTTCATAAGTTTCTGCATACTATTGTGGCTGTTGGCAACCGCCGGATACTACCTGATTTCGCAAATCTAACTAATAATCTAGCCATTCTTGATGGAACTTACGACAGCCAGGTAGCCTTGACTACACGGCACGTACAACATACCTTTAAACTGTAAAGGGTGATCAATAACATCCCTTATTGTAACGAACGGAAATTCTTGAGAAGGATCATGAGACCATGACATTAAAAACTTTGCTAATTATAGTGTGTGTAAATTTATAATAGTGGCTTGAGACATACATATATATGTCGGGCTGCGGTAATTAATGTTGAATACAACTGACGTTAGCTCAGAAACATGAACTTAGGTTATTTGTCCTTATCACCTGGGTTTGGTATCATCTTATGTCCATTTCCTTATCTGCTCGTCAATTCCAAGTGAAACAAGTAAGGAAGGGTTAAGTTCGGATGGATCGTGCCGCCTTGTTCTAGTTGACCGATATTTTCGGTAAAAAGTCAACCATAGGCACTGGGGTCCACATATTCAGTACCTAAGGGCTTGAACAGTTTTAGTTTAATTTAATTAAGATAATTAAACGTATTATTCACACAAAGTTTTACGCCGATATAATCATTGTGCTTGATTTTCATACTGGAAAGTGAAAAAATCAGATGGAAATTAAAATGATGTTATATGGGGAATAGGCGTGGTTGTATTCCGATTTCGACAATTTTCGAACTATAACATAGAAATATGAGAAGAATATTATATACCGAATTTGGTTGAAATCGGTTCAGCAGATCCCAAGATATGGGTTTTCACCTAAAAGTGGGCGGTGCCACGCCCACTATCTAATTTTGAACGTGGTTCCTATAAAATCATCTTATACCATCCCAGAGATAAAATTTAATGTCTCTATCGTGCTTAGTACTTCATATATCGTGCTTTTAGTAGTTTTTAACAGTACCGTTATATGGGGAGTGGGCGGCGTTGTCACCCGATTTCACCCATTTTCACACCATTGATAGAGATGCTAAAAACATTTGTTCCCAGTGAAATTTGTTATTATAGCTTCAGTGATATTGGATATATTCACATTAGACTTATTAGAGGGCGGGACCACGCCCACTTAAAAAAAAATTGGACTGCAGATGCCCCTCCCTAACGTGATCCTGTATACCAAATAAGAGTCTTGTTGTGGAGCTTAGTTATGGCAATTTATGTGTTTTTGATTAATGGCGTTTTGTGGGCGTGGCAGTGGTCCGATTACGCCCATCGTCAACCGTCTTACGGTACCAAGAAACATGTGTACCAAGTTTCAGAAGATATCTCAATTTTTACTCAAGTTACAGCTTGCACAGACGGACGGACGGACAGACAGTCACCCGGATTTCAACTCGTCTCTTCATCCTGATCATTTATATACATAAAACCCTATATCTAACTCGATTAGTTTTAGGTGATACAAACAACCGTTAGGCGAACAAAACTATTATACTCTGTAGCAATAAGTTGCGAGAAAAACGGAAAAAAAATTATTTTTATCCGTTACAATTTAATAAGAGGTAAAATAATTTATATTTTGCTAAGATGACTTATGTGAATCGCTAAGGTTGTGTTACTTGTTCTATTGTCTTTTTCTGGTATTTCTCCCAGAAGACTTAAACGAACGCTTAACTTAAAATAATGACACAGAATTCGGTAAGCATTCCTGCGAGACAACACCAGTAAAGTTCTAATGTAGTCCAACAAATACTTCTGATGACTAAAACACTTAAATAGACCGGATTATTTAGCCCTCATTTCAAACTACGTTTTCTATATAATTAATTAGTTGAATCGAGACTAATTACATCTCAAAGTCCACAAAGTGGCAGGACTCATGCAGAGACACCCATTATAATAAAATATGTGGTATATAGGTTAAATACCATTACTAAGCAGGTTACGTCCGTGAACCCTAAGACATCAAATCATTTCTTTCAAATTCTATGAAGATACAGATTTAAAGATCAGTTAATTGAGAACTAAGATTGTATAGCAAAAATCTATAATCAATATTGGAAATACTTTCTCTATTAATAAATATATATGCAGTTATGAGATAAAAAGTACGACAGATTGTGATTATTAAGATTTTAACCACTTTCACAATTGTTTCAAAGTTATGAAAGTGTTCAAAATATGTAAAAAGTATCTTTGGGCATTAAATTACAGATATGGATCTAGCACTGCTAGGTATTAAAATCTTAACTTGTTTTAACAACCGTCAATCAATATGGCAACTACGTGTTATGCGCTGAATAACAGAGAACTCACATGGCGTTAAAAACTGGGATGTCAGCGAGCAAACTGTCAAACGTTGTCAACGTGCGCTCAGCGTGAAGGGGGAAAGCTCCAATATTATTTTTATTTTTAATAAAAAAAGTTGCGATAAATTCTCCAATATTTTTTGCATAATGAATTTCCCGTAAATTTAGTGAATTTCAAAAAAATTTGACTACGCACTCATTAAGTGTGATATAAAGTGCCGAAATTTCACATTTTACTAGCTCCAGACAAGGCTCATGTCAACGGGAATGGAGTCCAAATATTTGTTGACAAGCAAAACTCCGGTAAAATCACCGCATGGCGCCAGTGCGAAAACAAGTGTTAGCATATCTAGTTTTCCAATTAAACGAAAATTGCAAAGTCCGGTGAATGGCATTGAAAATGTTATAATCAAAGCACCTAAATTGAATAACGGAAGTGCAACAACTACCTCAAATGGAAAATCAAACGTCAGCACGCCTACACCGAATGGTGGCATACAACATCTTAATGGCAAAGGTGTACCATCGAAACAACAGTTGGAACTACAACGACAGGCGTTACCTGTATATAAAGTACGTCAGCGACTTATAATAGAAGCGCGACGTTCCGAAACTATGTTGCTGATGGGTGAGACCGGTTCTGGTAAAACAACACAAATACCACAGTTCCTGTACGAAAGTGGCTTTGCGCAAAAAGGTATGATTGGCATAACACAACCACGTCGTGTGGCGGCAATAACTGTAGCGCGTCGTGTTGCGCAAGAACAAGGCTGTCGTCTTGGCGAAACTGTAGGTTACACGGTGCGTTTCGAGGATTGCACGTCACCACAGACACGTATAAGATTCCTAACAGATGGTTGCTTACTGCGTGAAGCTATTGTTGATCGGCTGTTGCGTCAGTACACTGTTTTGATATTAGATGAAGCCCACGAACGTACAATAAACACTGATGTGCTTTTCGGTATTGTCAAAGAGGCGCAAAAACAGCGTAAACAACGGGGTTTAACGCCACTTAAAGTAATCGTTACATCAGCTACCATGGATATCGATCATTTTGGAAAGTATTTTAGTGTGCGCGGAATGTACCTCGAGGGTAAAACCTATCCGATAAAAGTTATGCATGCTAAAGAAACTCAACCAGATTACCTTAATGCTGCGCTAGTGACGCTTTTTCAGTTCCATCGTGCAGAACCTGTCAAGTAATGCAAATTAAAAATTTTTTTGTTCTAAATATGTATTATAATTTCTTCATAATATTATAGCCATGATGTGTTAATTTTTCTAACTGGACAAGAAGAAATTGAAGTTATGGCGCATCAAATACGTCAGATTGCTAAGGTATTTCATGTGCTCATACATAAAAAACGTCTTGTAATTTGAAATAAATTATTTACAGACACATGATGCCGAACTAAGTCCAGTGCGTGTGTTTCCACTCTATGCGCAATTGCCACAAAACAAACAATTGGAATGTTTTCTACCCGCACACGCGAATTCACGTAAAATCGTGTTAGCCACCAACATAGCTGAAACTTCCGTCACAATACCTGGCATAAGATGTGTTATCGATTGCGGCTTTGTTAAACGACGAATCTATAATCCCAGCAGCGGTTTGGATGCTCTTCGTATTGTGCGTGTTTCACAAGCGCAGGCATGGCAACGTTGCGGCCGCGCCGGCCGTGATGCACCAGGCACTTGTTATCGTACGTATACGCAAGCTGAAATGGAAGCCTTCGAAAATATGCCAAAGCCTGAAATATTGCGCAGCAATATTTGCTCTACTGTACTGCAGTTGCTAGCATTGGGCATCGATTGTCGTACATTTGATTTTCTAGATCGACCAACGCCCGAAGCGGTAGACGATGCCTATCGTAAGTTGGAAGCGCTCGGTGCTGTAAGAAATTATAAAATCAAACCTGAACTGACAACCTTGGGTCAGCAAATGTCACAATTCCCACTAGATCCACGTTACAGCAAGCTATTGCTATCCGCGTCAGCATTTGGTTGCATGGAAGAAATGCTTAGTTTAGTCGCTGTGTTGTCGGGAGAGAATGTGTTTGTCTCTAGCAATGAAAAACGCGAGCTTGCCGCTCTCGCGCATGCGAAATTCACATCCAAATATGGTGATCATTTAACGCTGCTCAATGTCTTTAGTGCGTTTTTGAAGACCGAGAAAGTTAAGGTAGTATACTAAACATTAAAACAAAACCAAAAATATATCTCATAAATTTTTTTTGCATAGCTCTGGTGCCATGACAACTTTCTTAACACAAGAAATCTTTCCTATGCGCGTGAGGTGCGTAAACAACTACAAGAAATTGTTGAACGACTCGATTTGCCTTTAAACAGTTGTGGTAATAATCAGGATCAAGTGCGTAAGTGCCTACTAATTGGTCTGTTCGATAATATTGCTGAACTGCAGCGCGACAATACCTACGTTACGATAGCTGGACGTCAGCGTGCGAGAATACACCCGTCTAGTGTCTTCCATGGCAAATATCGACCGGAATATGTAATATTTACAGAAATTATGCTGACTGAACGCAATTTTCTACGTCAAGTCTCTGAAATCAATCCCGACTGGATAGCTGATGTGCTGCCAAATTATGCGCATTTAAATAGAATTAAAAACTCATTGAAATAACATTGATTGCATAGCTGCCTAAAAGTTATTTTACACTATTTTATACAGTAATAGTAAGGTATTTTCTGCGCATAACTAAAGAAAGGAACCATTTGTAAAAAAATAAATACGTTTTGGATGTTGCTATTAGTGAAATGTAATATAATTATTTTTAAATGACTAAGTAGTATTCGTCGTTCATTTGCATATATGCATATGTATGCCAACTAAAGTTTTAAGAAGTTCCAGTTTTACCCATTTAAATACCGTTAATGCATTTATTATTATTTAAATTATTTGCTTCAGTTCAAAATGCAATTTTATTTGTATTGAATGCTGTCTTTAATACAAACAAGAATAATGCAACTAAATACATACATACAAGCATACAAATATGAACGCAAACGTGTGTCTTGAAGTGAGTTTCTTTAAAGGCGAGATTTTTTTTTAATTAACCCTTATTCTTTTTTTAACTGAAAAGCACAGCAGCTAACACAAAACAATGATTTTAATATTTTTTTTTATTTACTCAAAACGTTTTGGCCAATAATACCGCGCGTTGCAGTAATTATATTATAGGCATCATGTAAATATACGCATAATTTCTTATTTTTAAAATAATTTAATAAACTTATGTAAAAGCGATTGTGTGTCTACATAATATGGCAACATGCTGCACACATATGTATATTTTGAAAGCAGCTGCACTCCACACACATACTTTTTTTCTATTTCTTTTAATTTTTTCTTACTTCTTATTATTAAAAAATATTATAATATTTTTTTTTTTAATTTTTTTTTTAGTTTTTTTATAATATTTTTAATATTTCTTTTTTTATTTTAAAATATTTCTTTTTAGGTTTTTAAATATTTATATTTACTTCAGTAAATTTTTCACAGTTTATGTAATAAAAATGTACAGAGTTTTGATAGATTAAGCTGACAATTATTAAAAATGTTATTAGAATTAACTGTAAATGAAGGTGATTAAAAATCAGCTGTTTACATATTTCATTGTCAAAATGTAAGCATAATATACAAGTAAATAATAAAATAGTAATTTAATGAGAGTAGAGTGAACGTTTTACTAATTAAATTTTTACGTACGTGCATATTAGGGTGCTTGTTATTGACAAAGTTGATGATTTTTTCACAAACGCACTCTGAAGTTTCACGTTTTGATCTTTATTTTCAATTTAAGCCTATTTCTATACAATTTATGTCTTTTGCAATAAAATTTTCCACAGCAAATAAATCTACAACTTTGAAAATTTGATATTCTAATAGAAAATTTTACGATCTACAAAAATGGTCTGAATGACTTTTTTTTTTAAAAAAACATTCCTTTAAAAGTTATACGTAGTTAAAATTATGCATTAAATGTACTGTATTCATATAGTACACCATGTCGTATGAGCAACACAAAATGTATAAATCACTTGAATGTATGTATGTGTAGGAAAAGTAAAATGATTAGACACGATTTAAATTGAAAATAATAAGCTTCTTTACGTCGGATACTTTTTTCTTAGGCAAAACCTGAAGCTTCAGGTGGCGTTTGCAAAACAAGGTTCAACTTGGAAAATAACGTACATCCTAATGCATACATACCATACATATCAATTCGCAGTCTTTTTGAATTCTCTAAATCTTAGTTCTAACTAAATTATGCATAAAATATAAAAATGATATAATATAAAGTATATATATCACGTATATAAGTAGGCACATTCGAAAAGTTCCTTGCACTAAATAAGCATACAACTGTATACACACATACATTTTCATATGCTTACTTTTTGAAGTAAGTCTAAAATATGTAAGATATGACGTACAACAACAATGCGGACTTCATACCAACAACTTTGTCTGCAGCACTTATATATGGCGGCTGCGTTGAACTCACTTCCGTGCTGCTGGGGTTCGTCGCTACTTCATTGGTGGTTGTCATCACTGTTGCTGCCGTTGTTGTTGTGGTTTTTGTTGTTGTCGTTGTTATTGTTGTTTCAATTAATGACGGCATTAACTCTATTTGTTACAAACAATTAAAATTATAGATAAATTCATATTCAAGAGCTAATTTATTTACCTGACGCATACGATGAGTACATAATAGCGCTACTAACATCTTGCTGATAAGGTGCTGAGTACATAAAGTCATTTTGATGCAAAGCTAACATTTCCTCACTCGCGATAATGCCATAAATCCAATCTACATGTGGCCCCACATCGGCGAAAATCGCAATAAACTGCTGTTGCTCCCGACAATTGTTGGCATTTTGGTTGGCTGTTGTTGCAATTGTATGCGAAAACAGGGCTACCAATGTACTACGCACTATCAGACCTGTGCCATAATCGGTATTAAATGAAGGGAAATCGCTTGGGAACTGAAAATGATTATAAAACATGTACATATGTATGTGAGGTTAGGCTGCATTCGGTGGTGCAAATATATATGTATATAAATATAAAAAAATTGATTTTAAACAACAAGCAGTAATAAATATGTAAATGTGTACCTCACAATCCGGTCCGACCGCATAAGGATACGTGTAGGGATAACGCGCACAAATGCTTTCGTCGCTTATTACCGGCGCACTCGTTGCGACCTGTGCGCATTGTTCATTGGGTAATATTTGTACATTCTCTAACAGCATGACGTTTTGGTCCACATTTAATGACTGCAAAATGCGAAAAATAATGCAATTCACTTACAACTCATAATACTAATTAAATTGTGTTTAAAATTGCACCTGCATGTTTTTAAGGCATGGTTTTATGAGTATGACTTGTAATTTAAGTTTGCTTATATCATTTACTTTGTATACTTGTACTATGAAGATAGCCAGCACGGGCATATTGAATGGCACGTTTTCAGAAGTATTTGTAATGTTCGTTGGCGTTGTAAAACAGCCTGAGTTGTTGTTATTTGATAAACAATGAATAAAGTAAATAAATATTTACGAATACATACTGCTTAGCCTGTTTTCTACAAGTTCGTTCATATCATAATTCTAATGCAAATAGTTTATATAATATTCCCGTAGATGACATTGAAAAAAAAAATAGTGTAATAATATTTAGGTTATGCCCTTTAAAGGACCTTTAGCCACGTTTTCAAATTAAGTAAACGCTATTTGTTATATTTGAATAAGAAATGTTGACTGGCTCTTCGTTTACTTCTCTTGTTTTGCAAAAGTTGACAGAAAAATTTAATATATTGCGTTCAATCAGTGTAATCTCATATGCCATCATTCTTACAGCGATATTTTGAGGTTTGCATGCATATGTACATGTGTTTGTGTATTTATTATTAAACGTCAGTTATTACTTCGTCAACAAGAACCTTCGGCCATTGACCGTTAGTATGGAATAAATAGCATTTTAAAAGCAAAGTGGCAAACGGAAAACGCTTACATTTTATAAATATTTTCAAAGACAAGTTAACTTAAATGAAAGTTTTATTTGAGTTCATTTTGTTTACTTAACCTAGTGCAATGCAGAACAAAGACATTTATGTACATATGGTATATCAACAGTTTGACAATTGATCATCTTTCTGCGAAATTCTTTGTTGGTGTCAGGAAAAAACAAGAAAAAACGTTAACTTCAGTTGCACCGAAGCTATAATACCCCTCACAGGTGCTTTTTTAATGGCAAAAAAGGGTATAAAAAGATCTTTATCTTGATTTTGTTCGACCAATTTGTATGGCAGTTATATTCGGAGATTATAGCATTACCTTGAATAATATTCTGTGCCAAATTTCATGAAGATATCGGGTCGAACAAAAAATGTTTCCATACAAGAACTTCATTTTGATCGATTAGTTTGTATAGCAGCTATATGCTATAGTAAACAGATTTGAACAATTTCACCGCATATTGCATTATTGCCTTATATAATATTAAATGCCACATTTCGTGAAGATATATATATAAATTTTTATATGGTAATCCGATCTGAAAACTTTATTCGGAGATTATTAATGATATAATATTCTATGCCAAGTTTCATGAAGATATCTTGATACACAGCATAGCCGAAAATGTATCTAATGGTAATCTTTAGATACATTTTTTTGCGACATTAATGGAACAACTACCATATTGTAATATATACATATGTATATCTACCCTCCAAGATATATGTTTGCTTTATTTAGCTGCACATCTTATAAGTATAACATGTTAACTCAAGAATACTTACCGGAAATCCTGCCATATATAATGCCTTCTCCTCATACACGTAATCATCCATAATGATCCATTGTATGTCATTGCGTTGACCAAGCGGCAGTGTCGTATCCAAACGGAGTAGTGCCAAATTATTTGCCAATGTCTTGTAACTAAAACCTGGCGCAATATTAATCTCTAACACATTAAAAGTATTCAAAACGTTGTAGGTGCCCGAAACACCTGGTACCACACTGATCTTCGCCGACGGTATACGCACCGGCGCGCCACTTTCCTCAACCACCGACGACTGATAGTAGACACAGCTGGCGGTGGTTAATATCAAGCTACTCTGCACAATAACACCGTTACAATAGTGTATGGGTGGCGCACGTGGATGCAGCGACACATAAAGTGACACTTGATACGGTGGCTGTGAGGCACTGTATGCGTCATTAAAGCAAAGTAGGATAAATTGCAGGATAATTAATTGCACTTGTGTTTTTTGCGCTGGTTTCAACATTTTTTAAATATTTTTTTGATTCTCTTTTGTTGATATTTTAGCACTACACTTGCAGGATATCAATATTCGTTGTAAGTTTTTGTAATAATTTAAACTTTTTGGTATTTTAATTTTTATAAATTTTGAATATGACTTATTTTTGTAAAGTTTTTACTAATTTCTGCACTTGTGTATGCTTTGACGCTCGCCGATCTTGTCGTTTCAACGTTTAATTGCTGATTGCCTTAATGCCTACGATCACATGGCATAATATAGGTATACACGCTCACCGCCGGATGGCCAGTCAATTTGATAAAAGCCCCCCTATAATTTGTCGAGCATTTGTTTGTTCATATGGCGGGCGGCTATGAAGTAACCGTTAGGTTGCGGAGCAGCTCACCTTTTTTGAAGTTCTTTCTTATCTCAACGCAAATTGATATATAAAATGTTAATATTTACATCCAAACTACATATCTGCTCAAGCACACAGTCAAAACCGCCATATATCTTCATATATATAAGTTTGTATAAAAGCTTAAATGTATATATTATAAGTGCATTAAATTTCGCTTTAATTTGCCACCAAATTGAGTGATAATTTAAGCCGTAGATCCACAATTGGTCTGAGAAAATTCTGCGAAATATTTCTTAAATACATTTTTGTTTTTGTTTCAACCACTGTGGGAGCAAAAAGTAAAGTTTAAGTAGTTATTAATTGAAGCGCGTAAATATATGTATGGAATACATAATAACTCACCGATCACTCACATAAGCAACAAGTATACGCCTGGGTGTCCCATATACCTGTTTATATGTACATATAAGTATACTATGTATGTATATACACATATGGCATTTTGCTAAAGATTAAGGCAAATATTTGAATTGAATAAAAGATAAGCATGCCCTCTTCGATGCCTTTGCCACCAAAATATTTTGTCCGCAAATATTTTCCAGGTTCACAACGCATACTATACTGTATGTATGTCTTCATATCCCAGACAAATAACAAACATCCAATAAGAGTATGAATTTCTCAGAAATTCACAAAATCTTCTATTTTATATGTATGTATATATGTATGTGTGTTTAATGAATATTTTTTAGTAATTCTAACTAAATCTTTTTGTCAAACATATTTACCTTCTCTGCCCACATCACACTAGGAAATTATGACTCAGTGTGCTTCGAACTTACCACTTGTATTTTTTCTTTCTAACGGGCCGAGCTTCTGCGACGAATAGTCATGCCCGTTGTTGTAGTTATGCTTTGAATACGCTGTAACTACTCCAAGAGGTTGTTGGTGAATGGTGTCGATGTTCTCCACACCGAAAGTACATTAGCAGGTTTTGCATTTCCCTCTAAGCTCGGAAAGTCAACCCTGGTGAACTTCATGTGTTGTTAAATGCTTAGCTCAAGATTTTTTGTACACTCTCTTTGAATTCCTTTATGCTTTAATGAATTGCTTATGATTTTTTTACTGTCACAAATAAGTATCGTTAATGTAACGGTTTTTTGTAAAAGGATAAATCGAGCCGGATAGTTATAGAGATCATCGACAACCCGAATGTTTTTGTTCTTGTAATACCAAAATAATAAAGTACCGAAATGATAGTTCTTGGCCAGATGGGTCCTTAGTGGCTTCCTAGAAACGAATATTGTGGGTACATTCCGCCCCTTTGTCTGTATAAGAGATAACTTGCACAAAAAATTAAATATTCTTTTTGAAATAGTACGGTCGAATTGTGAATGGAAAATGATAAATGTGGATTTCTATATACCGTTTCGGGTGTTGACACATTGTTCTCGGTTCATGTTTGTTTCTAATTTCCGTATACCGAATATTATTATTTCATTTCTTGTTCCAGATGACATTACGATGCATTTCTTTATTTTCATACCTACCGTATGAAAGATCTATAGATCCTTAATAATAAATTCCATGATCAGCTAAGTTTCTTTGGCTTGGTAAAATATACTTTCTATCAATCCCTGGCAAACTTTCTTGCGCTCTACGAAAGCTTTTACTTTTGAAGTTTTATGATCAAACATTTTCCACGATTTAGGTGATTCTGTGGTTCTGTGGGAGGTTTGACGTTACCTGCTGAGTCGTAAGGTTACTAGGTCCACTAGTGAAAAGAAAAAACAAAAAGAAATGCTTTCAAGTTAATACGCGTCACCGTACTTTTTTTTTATAGTTAAAGCGGTTTCTCTCGTTTTGCACAGATTACTTTGGTAAACACCTGCAATAAAATAATGTTTGCTTAACGAATCCAAAGTATTTAAAAAATCAGTGCCATAAATTCCGGAAGTTGTGGTATGTTCTATACAAACTACTCTAATACCATATAAAAATGTTTGTATTAATATGAACCAACAATGAGTTTGTGGTAACTGTAAAACTGCGGCTGGAAGTGAGGACCCAACTTGACCTTAATATTTGAAGTTTCAAACAGTTACTCGGATGTTGATGAACTCTTTGTGAATAAAACCTGTGTGTGTTTGTAGAACATTGAGATGAATGGATGTCAGTATTACGTTATTAGAAGCTAAATGCACGAGGGCGGTCTGATGAGTAATTAGACTTATCGCTCTATGGCATCAGTATCGCAAGACAAATTAACTATTGCGGCAAGGAAATATTTGGGAATGAAAATTGTTCACTTAAATTAAAAACCGTTCGGATGTCGTATACCGTGATTCGTTTCCTTTAATAGCGACTGGCGAAAATTATTTTATTGAGTTTAAATATGATCGGATGTCAGGTTTTGATGAGACACGCTACCCCTTTTGTAAATGGTGGTCAGGTGACAAAGTAAACGCTCAACCGAGGCTTTTCAACATTTAAATACGAAGAACACTAGATATTACGATAGAAAGTAAGGTGTCATCAGTAAGACCCTGCTCAAGCGCTCGAGCGCTCAGGCTTGATGTTAGTAAAATTTAAACTAAGATCATCAACTTGTTTCTGACTGACCAAGCTAATTACCAACACCCAGATTAGTCATGACCTTATTTAAAAACCACCCTGTAAGAGGCCTATACTATCGTTCCCACAACAGTGGAGTCTAAGTAATCGGTCAAGGACTGTAATACGGCACTATTCCTCGAAATTACTTCAGGAATGTTTTCTGCCGCTATAACAACAACAACAGGATTATCCTAGTAGCGGTAAACTTGTCAAATGCTTTTGAACTGTCAATCACACAATGCTACTAGAAGACAACGAACAATTCTCGCTTTCTCCAGGTCTAAAAAGAAAGATCATGAATTATCTGAGTTTCGTTAATCATCCTTACTATTTCGAAATCAATACTCTAAGCTAAGACGAATTAAACAAGGAGCCCGAGTCTTCCTTCTTCCCCAGAGTTCCTTAATTCCTCGACCTTTCTCGCTTTTTCACAGCCTAAAATTTTCTTCTGCTAAAACCACTGCGACTATGTTTACCAACTGGACGAAGAAATGCAGGCTAGATCTCAACATTTTTGTCGAAGACGCTAAAATTCCGATAGCAAACAACCCCTAAATTGTGGTGTACGTTTGATAGCTTGTACTTCCTTACTCCACACACGATCGCAATCATAACCTAAGAACGCGGAACCGTATTCTCAAGTCGCTAAGAGTGCACCTCGGGCAACTTCGTTCTAGATAATATAGCAGAATAACCTCCTACTCATTCAAAATAGACCCTAATATATTAAACATTATATTCTGCATGCAAAGAGTTCCCGCATGACACTAATCATCTCTTTGCATGAAGAGCCTGAGTACCTGAACTAAAGCTGCTAGAAAGAAACTGTGGGTAGATTTGAAATCAGCGACGTCAATTCAGTAAGAAAGTTTATTAAATTAAAAAAAAAAAATTAATTTTGTTCACCAGTGTAATATTTGACATTGTTGCGAATTTTTGAAAAATTAAAGACATTTAAAATGTATTAAATGAATAACAGTGACATATAAAATATATACATATGTACATATGTATGTACGTTCATGTATATAAAAATTGGTGAATATATTTTCGGTAATTATCATTTTGCACGAATATCAATCCTTTCCCATATTATCATTAATTTGTGTCTGGCGTCTTGTTTTAGTCTAGAAAAATGTAGTACGTACTAACTAAACTATCTACCATATGTGCATGCATACGTATATACATACATATGTTTCTACTCAGCATTAATCTGCATTCAGCACCTCTAACGACCATTATATGCACAGGTATGTCTGTATGTATGTCGTAGACAGGTAAAGGACATTTTTCGTTTTGCATTACTATTACTCTACCCAGGTACACAAATTTTAAACGCAAATTTAAATACTCATTTCAATTTTAAATTGCATGCCAAACAAGATCGTCGAAAATACTATGGTGGTGTATAAACGTTTGTTTTTATTTTTTTTAATATCATTAGTTGAATTTAAAATAACTTTAACTGCACCAAATGTGGCAAATCCAAAGCAAAATGCCAGTTTGAGGTAAATAAATATTTTGTTTTGATTTTTTGTGCTGTGAGTTTTAATATACATATTTATGTACCTAATTTTGAACGTTGCAGCATAACTGAGGATTATAAAGCACTACGTAATGATGCACAGTGGTTTTTTCAACATATAGAAATCATAGCCGATTCATTGGTGCAATTTTTACCCGATATAAATAAGGAGGGCAGTAGATCCTTGACGGCGAACACAAATAATGCGTGAGTAGGAAAAAATATGAATTTGAATTTATAAAATATTATGCATGAAAATTATACACTTTTACGTTTAAATTGAGAGAAAATCAGCTTAAGAATTATGAAATGAATTAAATACAATATAAAAACTAAAATATATTTTTTGGTGTTTAATATAGGAATTAATAACAACACATGCACTTCCGTACATCAATATACAATTACATACATACATATATAACTAATTTCAAATAATTTTTTAACGCAGCACATTTGTGGAGAACACACGTCTCACTCTATTACTTGGGCTACGTCATATGCTTGTAGGCATTAAGGAAATCTCAGTTTCTTTCCAACGTCGTTTATCTGGTGATCATGAGCAACAACTCCATCATTTGTAAGTAAATAACACATCACCACCCATACATTTATACAAATAAAACATCTATTTTGAAATGTATACATTTTCTTCAACATAATCACAGAAAAACCGTCGCCCAACTGTTACAGGATGTCATTCGATTTGCTAAACATTGGTTTTCACTGCTTCGTAATAGTCTTGCGGAGTTATTTCGCTTATACAACCACTATATACCGGAAGTGTTGCTTGGCAAATGTTTTGGAAAATACATTACAACTGCTTACCCAGATCGTAGCTTTTATGAATACCCATTCATACTACTGGGTGAGATTATCGATTTCGGTGTTACTTACCTACAGAGCATACCAATATACGATATAGCCGGAGAAAATATTACAACGTCATTACCAATAGAAGAGGTGTCAGATGAACAGAACGAAATTTGGCCTGATGATATGGAAAAGTATTCAAGAAGTATTGGGATAGCAAGGGATGAAAATGCACAAGCAAACAATGCACAACACCCATGGCAGAAATGTTTAAAAATGTATGCAGCGGATAGTATTTCAAGACAGTTAAAATTATTTTTCATTGGAGATTAATAATCGATATATTATTATTGGTTCACGTTATTTTGAATTTAGCAGCCAATGCATATTCTTATTGTAGGCATAACCATATTGATAAAAGTAAAATAAACAATTTTATAAGGGAATTTATACTAAACACGTATTTTATTCGTTTTTTGTTTTCTTAATTATTATGAAATTTTTTCATGCTTAATATTTCTGGCTTAAGTTGAAAGTGAAAATACTTCCAGTTGCTCTCGTTCACACATTTGTGTTATTTTGTTACAAAGTATTTATGTTTGTTAAAAAAATAATGAAATGGTAAATCTCATCTTTGTATACCGCGTTAATAACATAACTGGGATCCAATAGTGGCGTATTAATTTGTTTGAGTGCTGGTAGAAAATAACGCCAAAGCACCGCTGGCCAAACCAATGGAGAATATATAATTTACCAGAGGAGATGAATTTTTTAATAGGAAAAAGCTAATGAAGATGATAATGGCCAAGAAAAGTGCATTGTTGTAGAAGATAGAAAAAGTGGTAGCTTCATAATCTGCAACTTCATTCTTTTTCCACAAAATGCGCTCATCCTTCTCTTTACGTGTGACTTTCTTGTCATCACCAATTTGACGGTTAATCTCGCGTGTTACGGCATCTTCGCGGCGTACAGCGATTTTGTGTTTAATCTGGAATTTAATATTGCGATATGCCATAGCCATAAGATAGGTGCTAGCGCCAGTCAATAGCACGAAGAAAACTGCACTTGACAGCAGATCCATATTATGCACACGCCAAAAGAGCCCTAAATTATATGTACATAATTTATTATATTATAATACATTTTAGATAAGTGGATTTTAAAATCTAGTTGCCTTCGCTGGCAACCGGCTACGTGTCACCCTACTCACAAATTGGTATCGCCGATACGATGAAAGCATTGCTGTAGAAGAGCGCAGATGATTTGGTGCTCACATTACGGCTGAAATCCTGCAATAGCAGTTCCTCTTCCTTGGTGAAGCCAGAAGATTGCACTTTTTGTTGCTTTCCGGATCCCATTGTATTTTATTGACAATGCGGTTGTTATTAAATTAAAAACACGTACACAGAACTCTCGAAGCAAATAACCAACTATAGCCAATTGGAAGAAGTGAAAGCAATGAAATGAACGAAGTGGCGGCGGCACGAATAAACTCCGTGACGTGTTAAACTGTCAACGAAATGTTGACACTTCGTTTGTAGCGCGACATCTATGAGTGATAGTTCAAGCACAGTGTAGCAACAGTGCTAAGATTGAAATATTTCATTGGATTATATATGCAAGCGAATATAAGTAGAGAGCATTAAATATAATAAATGCATTACAAGTCTGCTTATGATATTATTTATTAAGTATACATATTCTTACAACAAAATGCTTTTCCAGGACAGTTTGTTAAAAATTATTATCTCTATATGTTTTTTCGAGCTCTTTGTGTTTTAAAATTGTATTGTAATGTCGAAGTCCCGATAGCCCAAGCAATAAAAGCAATCGATCTAAAATAAATCGATAAATAGCGGATAATCATAAAATGCACTTCTCAAATTTAAATTTATTTGTTGGAATCATCTCAAATTAGGAAGATCACTAAATAACAATAATATATATCATGAACATAATCCGTTCTGCCCGTTCTGTCCGTTTGAACGCTTCCACGTTGATTCCAAAAAGCTGTTCGTCAGTAATACGGTCATTATCCTCAGCTGAGTTGACCAAACTTGAAGTAAATGATAAAACTGGTATTGCTGTGCTAACTTTGAACCGACCACCAGTGAATAGTTTAAATCTTGAGCTCCTAACCGATATACGCAACTCAATTAAAGATGCTGAAAGCAACAAGTGCAAGGGGCTCATACTCACATCGGTAATAATTGTATCATAATAGTTGAAAATAAATATATACAAAATTTGCTTCAGTCCTCAAATACAGTATTTTCTGCCGGTCTGGACTTTTTGGAGATGTATCAACCGAAGGAAGAACGGTTAAAGAGTTTCTGGACAACGCTGCAAAGTACTTGGATGACATTATATGCCTCGAAAATACCAACTGCTGCGGCTATTAATGTGAGTTATACTAGTTTCTTTGCGTGGGGTCAAAGTACAAATTTTTCTAAAATTGGTTTTTTACATAGTTAAATTTACCAAAATAAAATATTTGTGTATTATAGCAATACATCTAATTGCACACGTATTTATTAACAGGGCCATTCACCAGCGGGCGGTTGTTTGCTGGCCACATCTTGCGAATATCGTGTCATGTTACCTAAATTTACGATAGGTTTGAATGAAACCCTCATAGGCATTGTAGCACCCAATTGGTTCATGAATTCATATCTTAATGTACTGCCACGACGCGTTGCCGAATTAGCGCTGACACAAGGTAAATTGTTCACTACCGCTGAAGCGCAACAGGTGGGACTCGTTGATGACGTTGTAAATACCAAAGAGGAAGCTATCGCTAAATGTGAAGAATTTATTGGTTTGTTCAAAAATGTTAATCCATACGCGCGTGCCTTAACTAAGCAACAATTTCGCATTAAGGAACTGCAAGAGCTTGAGCAAAATCGCGAACAAGATTTGCAAGCATTTATAGCTGCTGTAACTAAACCGAGCACGCAAGCGGCGATGGGCGCGTATTTGGAGAACTTAAAAAAGAAATCCAAATAATAAGTTCGTGCAAAAACACAGTTCACTGCTTTAATCTACATCCTCGTATTTTATTATAAATAAGTTCATAGTGCTTTTATAAACAAACACAAAAATTTACATACGTGTTATGTCTCATTTATTTTGAAAGTTTCAATATTTTCAATATATTTTGATCATGCTTTTATATAACGTTTTGAAAAATAATAATAATAAATGATAAAATATTTTCTTTATATTTTTATATATTTTTTTATTTTACGCTTCCTCATTCATTATGGCCTCGCGAATTTCAGTGTGTAGTGATGCCAAGGAATCGGACATTAATTCAAGGAAGGAATTGATTTCAAGAATTTTGGCTCTATTGCGTTCCAACTCGTCGCTGCAAAAATGACACAAATGAACGGTATATTAATGACAATACAATTAACGTTAGCGTTAAAGTGTATATATGTACATATATACATTATATTTGCTAAGCGAGTTACATACTTGTTCAATTCATCGATCATATTTTCTATGAAATCTCTGCTTCGTACCATCAAACGATCTTCGCGCTCATCAATGCGCTGTATGTGTGCATCCTTCATACCGGCGATCAAATTGAGTATTGCTTCACGATCTTCCATGCAATGCAACAATTCTGGCGGGACATCTTCGAAATCTTGCAGTGCCAACTTGGTGTTGATGTAATGTGTGCCCACTTCGGTCATATTCTCCGAAAAGTGTATAGCGATGTCCCGCAATTGTCCGAAATATGTTTGCACCTGCTCGACAAATTTTGCCATCATCTCTTGTATGCGACGTTGGAAATTAACGGTGGACTCCTAATGTGTGAAAAGCAAATTTTTACCAAAATTAAAATGTTCAACTCCAATGTTAAGTTCACACTTCTATACAGCTGCGCAACATAGAATCTCGTAGCCTCTGACACTCAAAAGCTGCAAGGTTTTAGAAACCGATGCCTTCGCAATATTTGCTGCATTTTGTAGCACATAACCGTTACTTTAACTTATGTCCACGCACAAATTCAAACACCCCTGTCGGCCGAAATTCTCAAAAGATAATGGGGCTGGCTCGGGCACGTTCTGAGGCGAGATCTAGACATAATCCCCCAGAACGCTATCGACTGGTATCTACTAGCCAGCTGACGGAAAGACCGACGGCTCTAACCTGGAGAAGGAATTTGGACATCGGAATATCTTAAGGTCCAAAAAAATTGGAGTCAAATCAAGAGGCTAACACAAGATCGAAATAAAAGGAATAGCCTAAATGTGGTAATTAGCTCACCCGCGGAGCCATATAATGCAATATACATGAAGAAAGAAAGCTGCTCTAGAAAATTTCAAATAATACGTACCTCTATGCTCTCGTGCAAGTGCAGTTCTTGACTCATGAGCTGTTGCCATACTTCATTGATGATATCATCAAATTGCATCGTAATTTTATCAAATTGCTCCATCATTTCTAAGCTTTCAGGTGACTCTTCATCTTCACCGTGTAACGTACGCAGCTCCAGAGCTTTAAGCACAGCTGTTGCTCGCTCAAAAATACGTTCCTTATGACGTAGAAAGTCTTCGATGACATCCTGACCCATTTGTTGTATTTGTAGTTGTCCTTCTTCCAAATTCTCTTTGAACTCATTAATTTCTAATTCACGTTCTTCATAGCGTTCCAAGCCATACTTATAAATCTCTTGCGTTACACCGTAAATGTCATTGTCATATTCCTCTGCTAAGTCAGTGGCAGGCTGACCGATCTTGAGCAGTGCATAACCGTCTTCGTCACCTTTCCACAAGGATTCATACAATTGATGTTCGTTGAGATATTCTACAAAACTGGAAGCCAAACGCTTCTCATCGTATTCTTCTTTGGCCTTTGCGGCGCGCGCTATTATTTCCTTCTCCTCATTCGCTTCAATTTCACGCAATTCTCGACTAGAAATGGAAAAAGCAATATCAATCGGTCGGTTGTTTTAGTTGTAGTTAAAGGGAAGCAAATGTTCCCCAAATAATATTGAGTCGAGTTGAGAGTTCTTAACCAGATAAAAATACGCATCCTTTCCTGTGACATTCATCCGACCAGTTCATCCCATTGTCGTGGAAACGCATATCAATGGATGTACGATTATATCGTCACAATGTTATACTATTGCCATAAGATTGGATTGAGTCTAGATCATTTAATAAATTAATGAGAAGTCCTTAAGTCTTCTCTTGACCTCTACGAACTGTTACCATTTTTATCAATTGGTATAATGATAATGAATAAAATTTGTTGGAAAATAATAGGAATCTTCGTTAACGCCTAAAGAGCTAACTGCTAGCAACTTAAAAGGATATTGGCCGACTAAACTAAGGTGCTATGATTATCGGGAACTTAACATAATTATGTCACGATTCTGTATTAAGGATAATTTCCTTCTTACGAAGTTAACACGTTTTCTTGTTTTAAATATACATTTCCCACCATACTCACTAATATCTTTCCCGACCTTTGTGTCGCATCTCTTCGGTGATCGTTTTATATTCGTAATATTTAACACCAGGTAGCACAGCGGCCACATAAAGATCCATTTGAAAGTTGGTTTCGTTTGCTATGGGATTACCCTCCATATTGAGCACGCGTAGGTCTTTCAGAAATCGACATCTTTCAATCTTTGCAATCAAAATACACATTTCGTAAATAGTTTAATGGTATTTCAAATGCAATGTCTTATTACCCCCTCGGTTGTTTTGATTTTGTTGTTGCCCAAACTTAGTATCACTAGCTTCTCCAAAGTATCCAAATTTTGTATATTCATTATGAGATTATTGAAAAGGGAGAGCACTTCGAGATTAACAAGTTTTTCAATATTTTCAATACGTTCGATGTAGTTAAAGCTCAAATCGAGTTCTTTTAGTGCAATCAACATATCGATGTGTTCAATAACTTCGATCTTATTACAATTCAACGAAAGCTTCGTTAAATTTGGCATGATCCATAAGTGATCTATGCGTAGAATATCTGAAAATGTAAAAAGAAAGCACATTTATGATCACATTTGACTTGTTCTAAGTAACTAACCTCAAAGTAGTTCTGTTCGTCCAGATTTTGTCAATAAATAATGGGGTCAAGATTACCATACCAAAAAAATCTTTTCAAGGGGTTCACACAAGAGAGGTGAGGAAGGACGCAAAAGTGAAAGGGGATCGGTACTGGCTACAAATGTGGTATTCGCCAACGAATGTAGTTTTTTGAAGACCCAACCTGAAAAGCTTAAGACAGGTCATCAGTCTAACTAGAGCCAAATTGAGATCACTTAAAAGGTGAACAGTGACCCCTGAAATAAAATTGCTATTCTTGCGACCTTATACTAGAACGTCCAATCCTTGAATATTCAGAAAATGCCAGAAGAAAATTCAGGGAAATGGCGTATCCGCAAAGGGAGCTATCTCTATTACTCCAAGTTCGTTGTTAGGCTTTCTTGATGCTTTGCAACTGAATGGATGAGAATTAATAATTGAGGGTAGTGCACAATAAATCAAAGGTCGCAGTGCATTCGTCTGTTTCAACCTATACATTTAGCATAAATCGTTATATAAATAGTTTAAACTCGACGACTGTTCCATTTTGCACCGACGAAGTTGGAATAAAACTCCTCATTGCTTCCCATTTAAACACAAAGAACTGTAGTAACTTGTCTCTAAAATCGCTCAAATAAATACAGTCTGGGAAGAAATTAATTAGCCTCTGTCTTTGGTGAATAATATTATTTTATATTATTTCAGCTTCCTTTGTTAAAGAAAAATAAGGCCTAAGGCCTAAATCAGAGTTTCGAGTTTATCAATATATGCGGTTTTGTTTAGCGAAAAATTAGATCGCTTGGCAGCTAAATAGCTTCAATTTGAATATATTTTTTATTTGACGAGATGTCTGCACGAAATTTTACATAAATTGTTGTTCAAGGCAACAATACAATTTTCGAAGAAATTATTCTGATCGGACGACTATAGCATATTGCTGCTATACAAACTGACCGATCAAAATCAAGTTCTTGTAAGAAAATAATGTGTCCTGGTAAAAATAATGTGGTTCTAATTCCTACTTTCAACTGAGTACAGTTGTCGGTTTTCGAAGTATTTTCGAATGCAACTTACTTTTAAACTCCAGTCTTAGCACAAAGATACGCTCATACACTACTGGCTCCATTTGATGTAGACGTGCAGCTTCTCCTTGCTTACCATCCTCCAGGTAAGCTTTGTCAATCATTTGCTTACTGATTATGCCAGGTTCGATTTCCGGATAGATGATTTCATCCAAAGATTTCAGATTGTCAAGTTTATTGGTTTCCGGCATTTTTGAGTTTTTTTTTCTTTTGAACTGAAGATTATTAATGCCGAAAAGTATTAAGCTGTAATTGAAAAGAATAGTTGACTCTCATCATTTACAATGGTTGCAATCTCACTACCTTTTTACACTACACTAACAATACATTAAAGAAATTTCGGTGAGTTTAGTCTAACATCTGACCCTTACATTATCCAAACTGCATACTAATTACTACCTATGTGCATTATTTAAACCGCAAATGAATATTCTATTCATTCTAACTTACAACAATTGGTATTTTGTGCATTGTTTTGGTATGAAGTTGTCAAGACGACCTAGACTTCGGCGTTGCTAGGCATATGCAACCGTTATGCAGAACAACGACGACATAGTCATCTGACAGACGTGTTTTACCGGTCGGTGCCCGAGGGTTTGTACGCCTAACCCCTCCGAGACGTCTACCAATTTTACGCATTTGCCATTCACCTTTGACGACGGTGTCGTGTATTGTCCTAGCCTTCGCGTTCACTTTCGTATGCATTCGGTCAGTCAGTTCGTACTTACGTGGGGAGCTATTCCTCAACTAGTGTTGTTTTTGTGTTCAATTTAGTTTATCTGTAACGCAAGGTAAGCCTGGAGCAGGTGCAAAAAGTGGCTAGCACTTCGTTTTGACACGGATTAGTTCGTAGGCTGGCTGCTTGGTGACTTCCTTAAAGTTGGGCGCCTGTTATATTACGTTATTTTCGGCAATTTATTGTTGTGTGCTGCTTGGTTGGCAGGCGTTTTTGCTTTTTATTCTGTTTGTTATTTTGAAAGGGATCGACTTCGCTGGCGCTGGTAAACGTCGGTTATTCGTGGCTAGTTTTAGAACCTTTAACGTTGCCAACCTAAACGTTAGTTACGCTTGTGTTTATTGTGTAGTCGAATTTTGTTGAAAATTTTAGTCTTTTTTCATAAGACTGTGTAAAAATATATTAAAAGTAAGAGCCGGAGAATTCGAGAAGTGGAAAAATTGGAAAATACAGTTTGAAATGAAAATATTTGAAAGTGAAAATGCATAGTGAAAACGATACAAAACCAACTTTAAATACCATTTTGTAAAGAAATGAGATATAGGTATATAAAATTCTAGTGCTCTTATATAAAAATTGACCACTTTCAAGACTCAAGAAGTCTTGAAAGAAAGTAATGTAGGTGATTAATTTATGTATTATGTTGTCCATATGAATAAAAAGACGAATATCAAATGGAAAATTCATATTCGCTCATACATTTTAAATGCAGGATCATCAAAGTTAATTACAATTAATCGATAAACTCGGTGCACTCATAAATCATAATGAAAGTGTGACAATTGCAAGTGTTTATACTTACAGGGCTGCATCTATAATATGTATACGTACATATATCAATGTATATATATACAAAATTAAATTAAAAAAAGAGCTTTGTTTATTGAATACAAAATAACTAATAAAATAGCGAAAGCTTAATTGCCAAGGAGAAGTTAATGAAGGTAAATACAAACATGTAAACAAGGCCTAATATATGTATATATATATGTACATATGTCCGAAAGAATACATATATATATATATATATATATATATATTATAAATAGTATTATTACTTTCTTTTTTAATTACCGATATTTTTTCTATAAATAGGAGCCCACTTTTATGGTTGAAATTTTCCACTAACGTCTGTGTCTTTCAAAAAAGCACTAAAATTTAGTTAATCAGTTCATTCTTCATTCTTTCCATTCATTCAATTGTTATGCCTTTAGTACAATAGATTTTCTGCGACCGTCATAACCGAGTGCGTTGACTGCATGAGGGTTGTGTTCAAATTCTGGTCAAAGCAAAACTAAAGAAGTAAGGGCTCAGCTAGGGTGCTGCCGTATATTAGATACATTCTAAACTCGTAAGAACTCTCGTATGTGTATAAGTGGCATATTTCAAGGTGTTTGCAAAACTTTATTTAAACAATGTTGTACATTTTTTCATAATTCGAAACTTGAGCCATCCAAGCAAACGGTAATTGAAATGTTAGGATACAATCAAAGTCTTATTATATTTCCTCTCAAATATCTTACTATAATTTCTCTCAAGTATCTAGTTGTATAACATATTTTAGTCCGAATCGAAGTCCATTATGTGTACTTAATCGCGTTTTTCTCAAAGTTATTTTTTTCGCTTAATTCTTTGCTGCTTGAGTTGAACTTTGGAACACAAAATAGCAAGAGATATATATACATACATATATGTATATAGATATTGTATTTTGGTGTATACTTTTAGAAAAAAAAAGCAATGGCTTTTTCAAATGTCTTAAATTTTGGAAAACAATTTGTATAGAAAACAAAAAGCTATAATACCCTTCACAGGTGCATTTCTGATAACATAAAAGGTTATAAAATATATTTTTCTTGAATTCGATCGGTCAGTTTAAATGGCAGCTATATGCTATAGTGATCAGATCAACAATATATTCGATATCTTAGATAATAACTCATGCCAAATTTCATCGCGATATCTTTTTAAATAAAAAAGTTTTCCACACAAGAACTCGAGTTCGGTCGGTCAGTTTGTATGGCAGCTATATGTCGATCTAAAGAGTTTCTTCGGATGTTAGATAATAATCTATGCCAAATTTAGTAATGATATCTTGTCAAATAAATGGTTTTCCATACAATGACTTGAGTTGGATCGTTCAGTTTGTATGACAGATATTTGCTATTTACATAGGTATGTCCGATTTCGGCGGTTCCGACAAATGAGCAGCTTCTTGGTGAAGAAATAATGTGTGCAAAATTTTAAATCGATATCTCAAGAACTGAGGGATTATTCAGACGGACTTGGTTATCTAAGAGTTGCCGTTATTGTTTATAGTACTAGTGTTACGTGTTACGCATCATGTCATACTATACGGCGATTAAAACGTGTTTATTCGCGCTAAAAATTTGTCTTTGACAGTTTTTGGATTGATTGACTCAGTACGTTGTGAGCGCTCGTCAAAGATGCATACCAACAAAGAGAAAATTCGCTATATTTTACAATTTTTCTTCGATCAAGGCGAAAAAGCAGCCAAAGCGGCTGAAAAAATTAATTTACTTTATGGGCCCGATACTGTAAACAAACGTGTAGCACAAAAGTGGTTTGCTAGGTACCGTTCCGGTAATTTCGATGGCAATGGACCTGGCACCAAGTGATTACCATCTTTTCCTGTCCATGGCGAACACGCTTAATGGTGAGAAGTTGGCCTCAAGAGAGGCTTGTGAAAATTGGCTCTCCGAGTTTTTTGGCAATAGGGACGCAGTCTTCTACGAGAGGGTTGGCATCTCGTTGGCAACAAGTTTTCGAACAAAACGGCTCATATTTGATTAAATCGGACAAATGTACACAAAGTTATCATCATTAGGTAAAGCCATTAAGCGCCTTCGCCATGGATAGGAAAAGATGGTAATCACTTGGTGCCAGGTCCGGACTATAAGGTGGGTGCATTAGAACCTCACATCCGAGCTCCAGGAGCTTCTGGCGAGTCACCAAAGACGTGTGTGGCCTGGCGTTGTCCTGATGGAACACAATTCGGCCTCTGTTGATCAAAGATGGCCTCTTCTGGATGAGTGCTGCCTTCAAGCGGTCCAGTTGTTGGCAGTAGAGGGCCGAATTGAGCGTTTGGCCATAGGGGAGCAGCTCGCAGTAGATGATTCCTTGCCCATCCCACCAAACACACAGCAAAACCTTCCTGGCCGTCAATCAGGTCTTGGCCACCATCTGGGCCGCTTCCCGAGCTTTGACCACGACCGTTTGCGTCGATATTGTCGTAAGTGACCCATTTTTCATCGCCAGTCAATCCGTTCAGAAACGAGTCGATTTTGTTGCGATTCAGCAGCGATTCGCAGATGGAAATTCGGTCCATCATGTTTTTCGTTAGTTCATGTGGCACCCAAACATCGAGCTTCTTTTGAATCCAAGGTTATGCAAATGGTTCCAAACGGTTTTCTGGCTTATCTTTATTTCCTCAGCAATTAAATAAGTGCTCACGTGACAGTCTGTTTCCACTATTTCCATGATTTTATCGCAATTTTCGACGACAGGCCTCCCGACGCGTGGTGCATCTTTGATATCGAAATTACCGGAACGGAACCTAGCAAATCACTTTTGTGCTGCACGTTCGTTTACAGTATCGGGCCATAAACTAAATTAAGGTTTTCAGCCGCTTTGGCTGCTTTTCGCTTTGATCGAAAAAATTGTAAAATATAGCGAATTTTCTCTTTGTTGTGGTCCATCTTTGACGAGCGCTCACAAACGAACTGAGTAAATCAATCGAAAACTGTCAAAGACAAACTTTTAGCGCGAATAAACACGTTTTCATCGCCGTATAGTATGACATGATGCGACACGTAACACTAGTATTTGAACAATAACGCCATCTCTTAAATAAACCGAACGAACTTTTTACTTCACCTAATATATGCTTTAAGTGTCTTCGACGTTTCTTTTTGGTGTTACCCTTGTTCAGGGTATAAAATTGCATTTAGTGCATATTTTTAGGCAAAAAATAATAATGGTTTCTTCAAATATTCACAATTTTGGAAAAACTGTACAGAAATAAAAAGCCAGATATATTGTATATTTAGAAATTTTTAAATTAATTCGGAAAATATTAGTACTTGTTCCATATACAGAAATGGCCTCAGTAGTAGCAGTGGTTGCGCTTATTGTTCGTGGATAACAAACGTGGGCGAATATATATTTCATGCAGGATATGATCCATGCGATGTTTTGAGATTTCAGCAATATCCTGCACTTTACCATAGGGAGACTCCCCATCAATACGAGGTCGTGAACTTTTTCTCGTTATACTCCCTGTAGATGAACTTGGCTAAACTAAAACCTAACCGATTTAAAACTCATTAAACTAATTTTGACGGTCGCCACCGTATACAGCATCCAAATACTCTTTGATTTCACTCTGAGGCTCATTGTCAAACTGTTTGGTTTTGATAGCGTCATTTAGTTTGTAGTGAATAAGTAAACGTTCTTTGAAAGACCTTCCATTTTATACTCTAGCAACCTGTTGCTACAGAGTATAATAGTTTTGTTCACCTAACGGTTGTTTGTATCACCTAAAACTAATCGAGTTAGATATAGGGTTATATATATAAATGATCAGGATGAAGAGACGAGTTGAAATCCGGGTGGCTGTCTGTCTGTCCGTCCGTCCGTCCCTCCGTGCAATCTGTAACTTGAGTAAAAATTGAGATATCTTTATGAAACTTGGTGCACATGTTTCTTGGTACCGTAAGACAGTTGGTATTGCAGATAAGAGTAATCGGACCACTGCCACGCCCACCAAACGGCATTAATCAAAAACGATTAAATTGCCATAACTAAGCTTCACAATAAGATACAAGACTGTTATTTGGTATACAGGATCACATTAGAGGGGCATCTGCAGTAAAAAATGTTTTTTTTTAGTGGGCGTGGTCCCGCCCCCTAATAGGTTAATGTGCATATCTCGCTAAAGCTATATTAACAAAATTCACTGTAAACAAATTCTTTTAGCACTACTATCGACAGTGTGAAAATGGGTGAAATCGGATGACAACCCCGCCCAGTTCCCATATAACGGTACTGTTAAAAATCGGTATAAGATATATAATTGAAATTCATATAATAAATGGTGTTGTCGGTAAATAACTGAGGCAACAATTCCTACTTCTAATTATTAAAATATATAAAGAAATCTCAAACGAGTATACCATTTGACTTTGCGAGAGTATAAAATGTTCGGTTACATCCGAAGTTAGCCCTTCTTTACTTGTTAATCTATGTTAATGGACACCATAAGTGTCTTATGCACCAAATTTGGTTGCCATAAAAAGTGGAGATGCTACGCCCATAGTACAGCTTTTAAACTGCTATTACATTTTTGACAGAAAATGGTCTCAGAAAGCTCCTTTAGATATACAGAGGCTGTTTGAAAGTCTCCCATTTATTACGACAACATGTAAACGTTCCTCATATTTTAACCTTGCAATGTTGATAAAGCTCTTAACCTTTGAACTACATATACAAGTATATTATGATTTATTAAACTAGTTGAGTCTAATATAAAGAATTGAGTGGGC